TGGTGTCATGCACAGTGTAGCAACCGTTTAGGTCTACAATGTTGCAAACAGTCACTCGAATACACAAGGCCAGGAATCCATTTCTATCCAGCTGCTGTTGTCATATTACGGCGGGGAATATGAGACGTTTAGCCATCAAACCATTTAATAAGACTAAAGTGCCTTTCGCCCCGACGACTCACAAAGTATGTTTGACTGCTAGTTCATCTGGTTGGATCGTACAGTTTGAAAAGTACAAATATGTAGTCACTGCTCCCTTTAAGTTTGGTAACAAAAACCACCCATCTGACAACTCGTGCAAACTTCATGTGAGAAAAACAGAAGAGTTATTCTTATATGCATAAATTAAAGCCTACTTATAGTTCGAATGACTTTCCCCCTTCGATTTCTTTTCCTTACCTTTTCAGTATCAACCTGACGAGAAAATCCTTGGCATTAATTGAATCAAAAGCGTCAAATTGCCAAAAATTCTACTTCGTACGTAATGTTGGAAAGTGACGTAAGGATTCATCAACTGGCTTGCTCAAGATTTCCTATTTTTTAGACAATTTCACAATCAACTCACATGCCTACAAGCACCCTAAATGCCAGCACATACAAACTCCAAGCGCAATAACTGGTCCCCAATTTCAAGTCCGCTACAAATGCAACGGAAATCTGGATAAACAATGGAATCTGAGAGATGGCTTATCTGAAGGCAATATATCTACACTAATGTTATGCAACTTTTTCCTCTTGCACTTTACCCGTATGAATTGGTCTAACAGAAGACGATTAACAGCCAATGTATCTCCTTGACAATGCCGCACACTTCAGTGTAAAATCTAGGAGGTTTTACGTGCGCGTAACCCCACCACTATTGAACAACGGTTCTTCTAATGTTTAACCACTTGCACAAAACGAGTATTTCCGGTTTTTTAAGACTGAATTGCTGGAAAAGGTAACACTCGAAGAGAGGGAAGTACTTGAATTTAGGCATTCACCTGAATTAAATGATTATATGGACACTCATCTAGTCCTGAAAACGTTGAAGTAATATATTCATGGTCAATTAAGCGATAAATCGCTGTTCAAATAGACACTTGTCCGATGAAACACTGGGTTTTGTGGACGAGTCAATCATGCCGGCTACTCATAGTGCAAACGGCGAATATTGCGCGATTTGATACCACTTTAGTGAGAAAAAGTTGTGAGTAGGAATGATCTAAACTCAAAACAGCGTGTGTGTACAGTACAGTGATATTTCCTGCTCTTTTCATGACTTTCGGACACTTGATATCAGGATAGGGTTTAATGTCTCTTTTCCGTACCATTCAGCACGGCTCAAAACGCTCGATGATACCTGTAAACCGGGTTATGTCATGATAAATTCATAAACTGAGAATAAAATATTTTTGAATCTCCAGGATGCATCTTGACCTGACATGACCATGTTTCAAAAGGACAGGCAGTTAGAAGGGGTGACGAGTGGCCCCATACATCGCCACGCACCTAAAAGTCGAATGGGTGAGTGGTAATACGTTCAGCCAATTACGAGACTCCTTGTCGTTTTGTTTCACCGCAAATCGACTAAAGTGCCTATATGGAGCAGTTTGCAGACCTGCTGTATGCACAAAGGAGCATAGGGCAAGATTGCTTCCTGCGATCTTGGTATCCACCTGTGAAGTCTATGACCATGTAATCGTCACTGGAGATTTCGACATACCAGAGCCTAGCGTGGGATGTGAAGTGAGCTGTGGACATAAGCCTTTTGAACACAGAACTCAAAACACATATAGTAGCAGAAGTAATAGAGGGAGTTGGGGAAAAAACTCAATGAGGACCAGATAGAAAACGATCGCGACTCTACTATGTTCCAAAGAACGATGACCTCTTGGTGGATGGTATCCGTGTCCAATCCCCCCTTAGGTAAAACCAATTATGCTTTGGTGTGATTTGCCCCAGCAACTGGCCTCTCTCATGTTAACTTCATAACTTAAGAATAAAGATATTTATTTGTTTGTTTATTGACTGAGGAGAAACTACCGCGAGTTGAACTGGAAGCATTTCGCTGTTGCCGAAAGGAACACTACAAGATCACGAACATTGAACTCCCGGAGGTTCCATGACCACAAAAATGGCACGAGAAGTTACCCAGCTTGTGTAATGTGAGCATTCGCAGGGAAAGTGCAAACACCAAAGTGGCCAGCCCAACAGCTAAGTAGTGCCCGAAAAAGCATATATCGGTTTATGTTACGTTGTAGACCGGCGAAAAAAGTATTAAACCTGACCAAAAGCCAAACAAAGAACCCTTGAATAGTGGATTTTGCTGAGCGGCCGACCTAATCATTGATGAATCCTCTACCAACATCAAGTAGTGTAATGAGATCTCGGGACTCCCACACAAAGCTGATGAAAAAGAAGATTTCGTCAAACTAAGTGCCTGCGAAACTTTCAGCACCTAGAAAAGGGAAATCTTTGGGCTTTGACTGCATAAGGCCGTCGGTCCTGCAGAGTTTTGCCGAAGTACTAGGTATACCCATATGCCACCTGCTGACGTACTCGTTGGAAATAAGCCAACTCTTCTGATTGGGGGCGTGCCGTCCTTTCACCAACCTTCAAGAGAGAAGACCAAAAAAACCTGTGTGGTTACAGACCAGTAGCTTTACTTTCCATACCAGCCCAGGTGTTGATGTTTTTGTGGCTACCGAAACAGGAATAACGTCATTTTATTCCATCCAACATGGCTACAGGACTGGACGGTCATGTATTACAAACCCAATGACCACCCGAGACGGCTGCACTAGAAGATCGGACAGTAGCAACCAGCCCATATTGTCTTTCTGGACTTGGTCAAGGCTTTTGCTGGCATCCCACACTACATTATGCCCACTAACCCTGCAAAGTTGGGTTTCTCTGAGCCCGTCATAACGTGCTTTGCAGCATGCCGGAGGGACAGAGGATTCTGCACTAAAGTAAACAGAATTTCATCAGCCCAGAAAAGTGCGAGAACATGAGTTTCTCAAGGAGCTGTTTCGTGACTCTCCCGTTTTCACCGACCATCAGTAAATTGCCCGCTCAAATCTCCTCGTCTATTACCCTATTTACCGATGATATAAAATGAAGAGGACAATAGGCAGGGAAGAGGATCATAGGATACTGCGAGACGATCTACAGCAGCTGCAAATGGTCTAACCTTTACCCGGAGAAATGCGAGGTGATGTACCTTTGCACAGTGGGGGCGATGAAAGCCGGTTAGCCCTCGGAGAGTATGTAATCACCAGGGGTCTACAGAGGACCTAGGACTAGATTTCTCTGGCATGGTTGATACTGGTGAAAACTATAGGGGAACGGTGGCGAAGGCAAATGCCAATATACAAATTCTGAGAGGGTGGTTTGCAGCCCTAACCCCAGAATTACAGCTCGTGGTATTTAAAGCCTGTGCTGAGCCACACTTGGAGGTGATCGACATGATAGCCCCCTACTAAACGTAGACGCGAGTACCTTCCAGAAGGAGTGGAGACGGGAGATAAGGTCGGTCGGTTGGATTGAAACATAAGCGTGACTCCCTAAGCAACTAGCATTGGGCTGTCGAAAAACAAGTGATGACTTAATAGGAATTGTCCTGGTGCTAACTTGACAGACATAGAGCCAATCTCCAACTAAACGTACTTGTTATATGCCCACAAATACGAGACCAAGAAAGAACACAACAGCGTAGTCAGATGGAACAGTACGTTTCCGACGTCATGCCAAATGGTGCAGGTGCTTGACAGAATGCCTTCAGCTTGACAGTCCAGTTAACCTATAAAGGCCGGCAACAATGTTGACTCTCATCGAATCCTAGGCGATTGATTTTGGAGAAGTGTGTAGCGCTGACACCTCACAACAGCCTAAAAAATCATTCACCAGGTGGATCACCCAAGCAGGTTGACAAAACCAGCCCAAAACCGACGGTCTCGCAGGAACTCCGCTCGCATGCCCTAAAACATTGCCAAGATGGGGTGCTACCAAACCTCTTCTAGGGTAGAGTTTGTGCCTTATGGAATGATCTGCAGAACGAAGCCACCACAGCTTCATCCGTTGGCTCTTTCAAGTGACTGCCGGATAATTACATGAGTGCAAATGGCCTGCAACAAACACTCCGCAGTAGCAACACGGGTAGGCTCAGTTACCTCTATATTCCCCGATCCTAGTATCGTCACACACTTCTTCGGAATCAATTGCCTAGGGTTCAACGAGATTCCACATCGATGCTGACCTTCATAGTTTAACTGGAATCGCTAACCTGAAGGCACTCCATCAAGCATCCACACCATTTGGCACGCTGTCGTGTTACGTTGCACCGCTCGTAATCGACCCTCTAGCCATTTGGAACGCATCCGTATCTTGGCATGAGGCCGAAAGTGTACTGCTCCATCCGACTACGCTATTGTGTTCTTTCTTGGTCTCGCATTTGTGGGTATATAACAAGTACGCATAGTTAGTGACCGACCTCTGTGTCTGTCAACTTCGCACCAGGACAATTCCTAAAAACCTACCGTTCCTTCAAATTATTACTTGCAACACTTTCCTTCCAATAAGTACGTTTCGCTCCTCTTTTCTCACTATCTGCTCACCCTGTATCTAGCAACATTTAAGTAACGCCATCATTTAACTGAAGGTACTTAAAAACAGGAAGTGCAAAAGTTTATCAATCTCATCAGCAGCTCCATCGCATCCCCAAAGAAACCAAGCTGCAGTTTGCAAAAAAATGCCTGCGAAGATATGAGCATGGAAAAACAAAGAGTCTGCGACTACAGAAGGAGGACCGAGCCTCATAACCTAGGAGTCAGAGTTCATAAACTACAAGTTTCCTCTACTCGCACCATTGATTTTGGATGTTGGAACCACAGTAAGCACTGCCTGAACCTTTTGAAGACATTTTAAAGCTAGGGAGAATATCTACAGTACCTTTGATTGAGATGACCGGTATATGTTTTTCAGCTCTTCCTTCATTCTCGAAAATCATAGTTGGAGGGCAGGAGTGGTACATCTTGAAGGTCAGCGGGTCTGGAGGCGTTTTAAGTAGGCGGCTGGTTGGCAGTTTTTTTTTTATCACGCAGTGTGAGTCTATAATTCTCATGTTCAGACTTTGGTTTTGCCATGGTTAGGAGAACTTCAGAATTTTAAATGGTACGGCTGGATAAAGTCATCTTGTTTTTTCTGTTTCACTTAGTTAAATACCGTAACGTTTGAATGCACTATATCAATGTAAAGCAACTTTAGAGTAGTTAATTCGTCATTATTTGAACACTATGAAGGGTTAGCTGCTTTATTTCTGGCAGCTTCGAGCCAAATCACACTGATAATGAGGAGGAAGGAGATGTCGTAGTAGATGATTGGGGATATAGTGGTATCAAGAGATCGAGTACCGTCTTTGTTTGCATTGTCCACAATATTTGTCTGTTTTCATCAGGTCCTTACATTTTTTCAATTCCATTTGATCGCCCTATTTCTCATCGCTGCCACCTAGTTCTGTCTTGGAATTCGGTATTCCTAATGTCGTATGTTTTAAACTACCAAAACTATCAGCACAGGCTTTTGGCAAATCGAAACTCACATCAAGTAAAGGCATGGAAATAGATCTCACATTGGACCCACTTAAGGGCTACCTCGAATCCATACATGAGTGCAAAACAAACGTGAAACGGAGGTTCAAAATGATGAAGATGATGACAGTTTACTAAAAGACAACGGCAAATGTCACTGTCTTGCTTAGTCCTTACTGTATCACTCATTCGAAAAATGCATAAGAAGCTGTAAACTGAGATCTAGTCGAGGTTCTTTTCATTGACCAGGTAAGATAAAATGCATAACTACTTTTGGGTCCTGTGTGCGTCTCACAAACAAATTACGTTCACCACCCAAGATGCCACTCTTGGCCGGCAAAGCTTATTGCGCATTTGGACGGTGTGCGGATATTGTAAGTTTCGACATGAAATTTAGACGACGGTTTCAGATTTGAATTGCTGCTGAGTGAACTAAAGCAAATATCATGAGCTGTAGAGCTAGAACTCAACGTTCATTTATTTACAGAGATGCGAAGAAACTAAAGACAAACCGAAAAGTGGATAGTAATCTGAAGAGAACTGGGTGTCAACAGAGGCATAGGCCTGGTTTGCGTTTCCAAGCTGCTTGAAATCCAGATTACTTTCTCTTAAGGTGCCTGAAAAGGAAAGTGGATTAACAAGGATGGTATAGTCAACCTTGCTGCCTGATCGCAAGGTCTAAGGACCATCTGATTTAAGTCGGTCACACACGGTCGTTTTCGGATTTTTTGATTTGGAAGTTACTATTACTTTCTCACTTGAAGAAAGATGTGTACCACTAGCACCATAAGTCTGTAACACAGTAAGGAATTTCTGTTTTTAAGAGCATACCTTTTATTATCCGTCCTTCCAGGGTTGAGACAGTACCAGCTCGAGACGCTGGTTATGCGATGGACATACTTCATTACAGTCAGAATCACAAAGCCAACAATATGACTTCACTCGCAGACACTCACCGTTGAGTAAATTATTTAGTGTTGCCATTGTCTAGCAGACATTTCTGGTATGGGGCTCCCTCAAGGGACATTCATCCCAGCCAGTGCAGCTCGTTTGGCTTTGATTATGGAGAAGCCTGATCAATGCACTAACTTAACAGCTGTCGGTCAATGATCGATTCAAATCTCGCTTTGTTTCCCCTTATCTATTTGTCACTTAGTAAAAGACGTAATAACTGGGTTGTGTGATACAGGTGAAAGTCTCATTGACAGAGATGCACCTAAATTGCTTTTCTTGGCACTTTGGACACAATATTCTATGTTACTTATTCCCCACAGTGAAATTTACAGGGCCTCGCGTAAAAGTGATTTAGTTTTCATATTTCGCAACATTAAATAATGAAAAATAAGTTGAGGTAGAGAGATTAAAGTAGATAAAAACAAGGACAAACGAAAGAAAGATAAATAAATGAAGGGTGGCGAGTTATTCAAGATTTTCACGGTGGTGTTAGATGAGTACACCCATTTTATCGCGATCGATTTCAAGTCATGTCAAATAAGGTCTCCAAATACTTCTCAAACCCCAGCCACATAGTTTACACTAGTAGACTAACAGCCAATGACTTCAGGGTTTGGTTACATGCTTTGAATTAACTTTGGAGACTTATTTTTAGAGTTCATTTTCCTCTTGTTTTCCTTTCCATTGCTTTGTTGCTTATCACTTGTGTGGTTAGATCAAATCATCTCAGGTTATGCATATTATATCACATTATACCGTAAAGCCTACGTTTATGGTCCTAAATTTGTTATTTTTACTTCTGGGTGTGTGAGGGATTTTAGTCTGCTTGTTATGTCTTCAAAACGATGGGAATAGATTTTGGGAAACCTCATGGCATGAATCAAAGGTAATCACAGTGACCCAGAGTTATTCGTTGTTTACCGTTGTCAGGATTTAAAAGATTTCGTCAACTTTTTGTAACCATCTGTTCTTACACAATTAAGCATAGTTCAGCATGATTCTTTCTCTATTCAGTTCTTTGTGTTGTGAAATGTGGCACCTGGAACTGACGCACTTTGGCGTAATGTTGTACGTTTTTGTGCCTGCCTGTGACTAGTAACGTCTTTTTAGTTAATTCTTTCTTCTATATCGAATCATCATCTTCAGTTTTCCGGAAGTTGGCGTTTTAGCGTCGTCTTTCTGGCTTCGATCCGTCCAAATTATGTTTTTTGGAATAAGACTGTATGATGAATGGTTTTGCTAGGTGACAAATGAGATGTAGTCATGTAAATTTCGTCAGCGACCTTTGATAATTTTTTAGCTTGTGTGTTTGTTGATGAGTGAAAAGTTATTGAACACTTGTAAATATTCGTGTTCTATTTGAAATGACTGGATGAACTGTATGTGTATACTAAGCGCTTGCCCATTCGTGATGTTGCATATCCGTTCTAGTGGACTAATTACTCGTAATGTTGACATAGTTGAACTCAGCTGAAATATACTTAGCTGGATCATATCATTTTGGCGTCTTTAAGATGAATTTGAGCAAAACATATCAAGTGTTAAATTTGGTGTTGCCATTATTGTTTAGCAAATAACTGTTTAGCGTGAACTGTCAATTTAAAGTGCGTTTGCATGTTTAATCGCCAGTGTTTTTGTGGTAGGTTTATGAGTAGTGCCGAGGCAAGGCATTGAAATTTCGGCGTGGTATATAAACCATCTTATTGGGATAATAGTTCTGGATCATTTTGTCGACTGGTATATTATGCATAGAAAAAACTTGTATTCGTAGATATCAGGATCCATAATTCTGTTTGTTTGCTTCTTCGAATCTGTCGAACTTTCAAACAAGTTAGTAGTGGAGGTGTGAGATGCTGTGTAATCTCTATACCCACATACTGTTGTATTCAAAAATTTTCAATCAGATGCTAAGGAATGTAGTATTGTTAATTTTGGGATATCCTGCTGAGTAAAAAATGCAGTAATGACAAGAAATAAATATATTTTGTTGACTTCTGAACACTGCATTGACAATAATAAATTCAAGCGTCAGACAGACAGATCATACAGTTGCGCTTCTGTTCTCGTTACAAAACATTTGTGTAGTACAGAAAGACTGGTAAAATCAACGTAAAAGCTCGCACACAAGCGCATCGGCTCAATTTGCCACACCTCAAAGTAGCATACAAAGAACAGATGGATAGTAAAAGATACCAAAGTAGATAAAGTAGTATGAGTGAATAAACAACCAGAAAATAATGGTTATTACAAGTATTCACGCTTTAGAAGACGTCAAGCAGTGAATACATCTGCACCATTGTGACCTATTTCAACCATGTCACCGAAAGTCCTCAACCATTGATTTGTTTCGTCTCGAAGACCCCAAGCAGGTAGTGTTCATCTTCCCACTTGGCTCACACCAATAGTCAGGGACGTAATCGACTGGTGCCAGGTCTTGGTCTCGCCACCCTGAACCCTTTTCCATCCTAACCCAACTTCTAGCATGGTATGTCAAGATAGGCAGTGGCTCAGCACGCGCAGTACACGTGCAAGCCATTTCAGTCGACTAAGGTTCACAACCCCATCAGTCGACTTCTGTCTCGCCTTGTACCTTTCACCTGACCTCACCATTACTAACACAGTGGTTCGAGCAAATGCGAGTAATGCTACAAAAACATCTGTGATCAAGACCCTGCGACCGACTAATATCTTCTTTTAACGACTCTGTCTCACAGCCATACAACATGACAGAACAGACTACAGCGTAGTGGTACAACGAGAAGCGAGTTGCCAAAAGGACCCGAAGGTGATTGTGGGACGTTACTGCTTACCCAACCAGGACTAAGATTTTGTTTTGAGGTCGTCTCCGCATTACACTTATTCACACTAAGACAATAGATACATGTTCGTTTTCCCTGTTTTAACTAATCTCCCTAGCAATGATCGGATGTCATGGGAAGCAGATCACAAAATCAAGGTTACAGCATCTTTCTGTCAGGAAATTGTAGATTTTGGCTGATCTATAGCACGAAAAGATATCGTTGGCTAGTATTCGGTAATTGATTCGTGTGTTTAATATCAACATGTAAGGTATCAATCAATATTGACCCAAGCAGCCCAGCTGCACAGTCTGTGACTGTGAAATGCTGAAATGCTTTTGTGGTCATTATGAAGAAGCATAAAGACTAGGCTAATAGCGTTCTACCTACTGACTCTAAATATTTAACGCATTATCCTAACTTTCATATATTGTTGTTCGTTTCAATTCATGTTTAATCGATGTTGGTCTCACAACTGGATCCTTTTTTATCCTGTTTATGTGCATTCTTATGAATTAACTACAGCTGTTCTGTTTATGATCTTACTAACTCTGTTTCAAATTGTAGATTCTGTGATATTGCTTTCTGCTTATTTGTATCGAGTGAATTTGTCACCGTTGTTTGTTCAGTATCTGGATAGTTTAACATTCAAGTCTCTCCTTTTAGATGAGTAATAGAAGAGCTCTACACTTTGTTTTCAAAGTAGCTAATCGCAATGAAACGATTGACTTTTACAAACGGATTCTTGGAATGAAGGTATGTGGATTGTGTGATACTAAAAATTGTGTGAAAATCATTTGTTTGAAGCATCTCTTACCCTAATTCTCGACTATATTTAGCAGGATTTTGTTTAATTTTTGTACTTGCTCAGTGAATTGTCAAAATGTGTTCATGAGATTTTCTAAAAACTGAGTACCACTTGTATACTTTTTGTAAATGAGGTTATATGAACAGTTTCCTGCCTACCACTAAGTAATCCTTGTTTAGAAAGATCATTTAGAAGCTGCGGCGCAATACATCTATGGACTGGTTATAGAATTTTGGTCATTTATTTGTATGGTTCAAAGATGTGCTTCTGTATGTTGAGTAACTCACTGTCTGTGTGTATATATTGTAGTCTTATTAGTAAGCTGGGTATTTTAAATTCCCTTTCTTCACTATATTTTTCAAGGAGCAGTAGTCACAGTGATCTGTAACCAAATGCTAGTTAATCCTGATATCAACTTGCAAAACCTATATTTAAACATGCCAAATGTGGGATATTGATAAAGTTTACAAGCTGATATCACTAGTGAGATATATCAGTAATTGAAAATCATCCAAACTAATCTGTAGATTTCACTATTCAAATTAGAGTGATATAACCATAAGGCCGCCATTTCGCTCATTGGGAGCCCAGCTTACCAGTGGTGTTGTTGGACTAATTCAGCTTGCCAGACTACATTGTTCAGATAAACTGAAACTGGCTAACTGGCCTAAGTGGACTGGTATACGTCAAGTAATGTGATCAGTTGGCAAATTCTTTACAAGCTGCTGGGTTTCTGACTGCTATGTAGTTTATCGATTGTCCAATACAGGTGTCAATAGAGTTTTTTTCGTTGGAAACAATCCAGCCTGAATCACTAAGTGTCACCTACTTGGTAACTAGTAATTCTGTAACATGATATTTCCAGCCAATATGCTGAAGGTTAGATTTTTCATAACTGGTGAGAAAACCTAAGATTTTCAACTGTTCCGCTCATGTAGCGCTCACAGTCGTAAAGATTAGTTAAGTACTGAATTCACATTCCTTTTCAATACCCTTGTTATAGCCGAATACTCAACTCTTTACAAATTGAGGAGAATATAGTTACCAACAGAACTTGTGGTATACTACTTTACTGACGTAATACATTGACTCTAGACGTGAAACTTAAACATACAGAATGTTAAATACCACCAAAGATTCAAAGCCGATATAATTTTGGTGCCTAGTGTATAAGTAAGATATTTGGCAATCATTTCTTGAAGGGGTATAGAAGTACATTGATCAAAAGCAGCCTTTACATACGAAAGTGGAAGGGATAGACGTTGTAGTGGAAGTTAAATGTACTAAAGGGAAGTTTTGTTTCTGGAATCATGTTTCGTTGATACCCGAAATCTGTTACACCTAACTTTAGACAACTCTATATGTATGTCACATTCCAACTTACAAGTTCTATTGGAAATCTGATTAACTAGGTAAATGTGAAGAAAAACTGATTGTACAGAATATCATTTTGTTGTATGGATTGCGTTTTTAGTGTTAGTCAACGTCGGATTTAGTCGACGCCAAAAATTAATAAAAGTCTGCTAATTAGTTCATAGAAAGATACAACAAACCTAATTTATCAATTAGATTATTATGAAAATGAGAAATTGAGATATTACGTGATATCTTTAAGGTTTCATCTAGCCTAAACTTACTTAGTTTTCAAGTGTACTGTAAAATAGTTTACTACGCAAGTTTTCAAGGCTAAAATTAGTTAAGCTGCATATAAATATGTCCGAAATTTTATGAAAATTTTATCTAGTGTGTATGTTTTCATTGTAAAAATATGACATATATTAAAGGGTGAGTATGCTGAGAATCCGACTAACATCGAAATAAGAGAGTCTTGAAAGACATTCAATACCATCCATGTTTATATGTGTGGATGTTGAGTCCTGAAAAGTATGTCGCTGGGAACACATTTATACGTTAAATGTTCTGGAAATTTGACTAACATTCGGTAACTTAAGGTAAAAACAGATCGCTCAGCAGCCTTGTAGCCTAGAAGGCAATGAGTCATGTCTATTGTACGAGGGCTAATTATACAGCCTAGCTGTCCAAAGCAGGGCGGTGTTTCAACCTGTAACCCAGTGGTTGAAAGTCAACTCTGTAAGCCACTAAGCCGCAACTCCACACTAACTTTAAAGCTATAATAAAAATTACTGCTTCTCTTAAGACCTACAACCCCCCCATCCTCCCCGGATCAAAATGTTGCAAAATAAGTCATATTATATCCTAGTTTGATCATATTGAAAGTGATATAATTAAAAATCTGAAAGTGATGCAGTTCTGAAATAGTAAAAAACAGTTTTCCAGGATCTGATAGAGATGGATTGTACTTAAATGCCCATCTGTGAAACCGAAGATTTATGCTTCAATTCTGTTTTCCAGGATGCTTTGAAACACCTAAAACATAGATAAAAAAGTCCTTGTTTTAACAGACTAACCTTTTGCCTGAGCAAAACAAACATTTTGATATGGATTTGATAAGTGATATCAGAAAAAAACTGAGATTATATGTAGTTTCCATCCAGAAGACTCTTGACTTACTGGGCTTCCTTTTTATTAACTAAACTGCGGGACCTGACTGCTAAACAAGCCTCCGTTCTTCTTTATTCTTTGAGTGTGGATGCTGTCATCTGTTTTAATTGGATTGAAAAGATACAGAGTTAGTCAATGAGTTTGGTGAGTTGTGGATAGATATTACCAGTCATTCGCATCACAAACTGATATGTAAAACGTATGCATAAAATACATAAGTCAGCGACTGTATGCATATTCTTACATTGAATCACGAATCTACTGTATAGTGGCAGTTTCTGACTGTGAACGGAGTACTGAGCAAATATGTAGCGAGGATCAAGACTTTGTTTGAACTTACGCAGAGTTGCAAGGACGTACAAAGATCTGTCGTCTTAGGCAATAACAACAACTGGCGTCAGCCAAGGATATCCTCTACTACTCTCCATACTCGACTTTGTTATAGTTGTGGAGGTTAATATAATCACACATACTTCTGACTTCTCAGTGACTGAATTACTCCCAGGAGGATATCTGGTTGACTGTGAGTACACAGATAATATGTTCTTATTAAGCAAAGATGCTGGGAAAATGCTGAGTCTTCTGAGCAGAAATCGGATTATGTTTGACATGTTTTACACCTGTCAAGTGTAAAATGATGCTTTGGAAGTGATATGCTTCAACTTTTAATGTAAGGATGAGTGAATTTCTTGAACACGTTGACCAGACTACTTGCATAGAAAATTGCATCACCTCGAATAGCTTAGTTAACCAAATGTCAACTCGAATACACAAGGCTTGTTCGAGATTTTTCAGCATCCATTATCTATGTTGCTTGTGAGGTATCCGACTATCTACTAAAGGATGTGTATATTGCTCTCTGTAATACTGTACGGCTCTGATACGTGGCCACTGAAAGTAGAAGATATGAAGATATTACAGTTTTCTGGCCACAGGTGTCTATAGCATTACTCACGTATGGTGGAATCACTGACGAGGCCAGGCGAAGAACGCATGCCAGTCAATGAGGTTGTGGATCGTGAGGGAAGTGACTCGGAAAGATGTTGTACCTCCAGTGTCGCCCTCTATCTCTCTGCAGGATGTTAACTGAAGTGGGACTGTCTTAGAAGAAGGTTAGCGGAGCTCAGATCAAGACATTTCATCGGTCCATGAAGTCTTTGACAACCACTCTCAGCTGTGTAGGGTGTTGTAGACTATCTGCTTAGTGTCGTTTTTATAATAAGAATCCGTGGTAACATTACCAAAACTCTGTCACAGTGGTGCGAATCTGATCCTCAAATTTTCCAAACTTAGGATCGACTAGTAACTAGTGAACTAGTTAACCAGGCGAGTGGGAGGACAAATACAACACAGAGCTTAGAATCTTGGATAGTCCATACATTGTCTATGTATCATTCCCTCATATATAAACTGGTGAAATGGTTGGCGTAAGTGTTAAATTTAGTTCTAAATAAATTCTGTAAGTTTTTATTGACAGATACATTTCAACTTGTTGACTGTCTTAGTAACATGAATACCAAGAACTCATTCGATGTGAATTCTTTATTCACTAACGTGTCATTGTTCAAGGCTATTAACATGCTCTATGACTACATATCTTCTAGGAATCTCATATTTCCTATTACTCCAACTTTTCTGAAAGAACTATTGTTGATGTGTAACACTCTTCAGTTGACTTGACTAGTAAATGTATGATGAGATTGTCAGAAAGATATTGTGCAAATACATTACATCTCGTCAAGATAAACTTCGTCTTCTAAATTACACTATCTAAATTCATACTAAAGGAGGGAGTAATTGTTTCATATTACAGGTGTTGTCAATAATTCTAGCATGTTACGTTTTGTTAAACTAATTCTTATCTATTGAATTATTTTCACAGGTTTTACGACATGAAGAATTCACTGAAGGTTGTAAAGCATCCTGTAATGGGTAATAATTAGGTTTAATCAAATAATAACCATGCATATCGATTGTATTCCATTTTAATAAGACCATATGATGGGAAATGGAGTAAAACTATGATAGGTTATGGTGGTGAAGACAATCATTTTGTGATTGAATTGACCTACAACTATGGAGTGGGAGGTTATCAACTTGGCAACGACTTCCAAGTGAGCTTTCTCGTCTCTGTTGTTCACTTCATCAGTATATTCGTATTCACAAGAAAGACGCCTACGATAGAATAACTGACGGGTTATGGCCTATCACATTGAAAGAAGCAGATGCTGTGAAGGTGGAGGCACCTGGTGGATATGCATACTGGGTGCATAACTATGAGAGTGATGGTGATCCTGTTCGAATGGTCGCGTTGGCTAGTTCAAATCTTCAACGGTCTATCGGTATGCTGTTTATCCTTATCTTCTAATACACTTGATCTTTGTGAATAGACTATTGGTCTTGTAAACTTGGTATGACAGTTGTCTCGTCGAACGGAGAAGAAGAAGCAGTATTCTCTTATTCATCGAATCAATGTCATTTAAAGTTGATTTCTATCCATGGAAGGGTAGATCATGCCAGTGGGTTTGGTCGTATTGCTTTTGCTTGTCCAAGTGCTCAGGTAAATCTCTATTATCCACCCAGTTATCTGGTATCTTTTATCTATGCGTTAACAGTTACCAATACTACAGAATTGCATGGATGCACATAAGGAGACAATTCTAACACGTTTAGTTAGTTTGGATACACCGGGTAAAGCTACAGTACAAGTGATTATTCTTGCTGATCCTGTAAGTGTGCCTGTTTGTATTCTCTTGTGGTTTAATATGAATACAGATTACTGGTTAGATTGTTGTTTACTGTCTCTTGGATTACGTAATATGCTGATGGAGTCTACTTTATGAATATTAGAATGACTGAATAGCTGTTACTGAGTTGGTTATACCGACTGAAAACGGGAAAACATGCTTCTTAGTCACGGTATTTAATTTATTATTTTTATTCATTTTATCTTGCTCCTGTCCACCCCAAGCAAAGTATTTATCCACATCATCCTGGAGAGACTAAAAGATACTCCGGATTCAAAACTACGACCGGAACTGCTTGGGTGGCTTCAGAAAGAACAAATCATGTGCGGCTAAAATTGCAACGCAACGCAACGCAATGCTACACATCATCATGGAACAGACCATAGAATGGCAGTCAACTCAACTCTACCCCAACTTCATCTACTTTGAAAAGGCCTTCGATAGCGTCAAGCAAGAAGTAATTTGCCAGGCAGCTGCTTCAACATCACTGTTTTAATGCCACAAACCTTTATCAAACTCATTCCACAGCTATATTGTATACGATGCTACATGCCAAATGATTTACAATGGAAAGCTCAGTGACACCTTTGAATTGAAGACAGGAGTAGGACAAAGTTGCCTACTATCATCATGGATTATCTTCCTGATTCTGGTTGACTGGACTGGACTGGACTGAATGATGCAACCGACAACTGTGAGGAGCGGGAAGATGGGCATACGCTGTTTGACCAATGAAACGTCCCTAGAAGAGTTGGATTTCGGCGATGATGATTTCTGTTTTAATATGGCACAAAGTCGAAGATCCACAGGTAAAAACTAACAAGTTGACAGTAGACGAGAGCCAGGGCAGCGAAGAGAGGACTTCAAGTGAACAAGGAGGAGACAGAGGTGATGAAGATATTAAACCAACAACGGCATCAACAACAAGTACCAATCACCATCAACGAGAGAACTCTAAAGGAAGTAGTCTCTTTCACCTACCTACGTAGGTAGCATCGTTTCAACTACAGGTGGCGACCCAGATAAGAATGTCAAAGCAACCAGGATCGGAAGGACAGTAAGAGAGACCTTCATTAATCTGAAATAATCAGTGTGGAGATCTACTGCACTGCACTCAGCATAGAGCGTGAAGAACATCCGTATTTTCTACACTAATTCAGTCAAGTAAGTCAGTGCTTCTATATGAATGTTGAAAGAGTTGGCACGTCACGAAAAACATTTCTAACAAACTGAAGACATACATAACATCAACAGCTGCTGCCTACGCTAACTCGATACTCACACTGAAGATCAGGTGGCTAGAACAATAAGAATAAGCAACAAGGAACTGTGGCTGGCTGGCTGGCTGGCTGGTGACGAACCAACCAACGAAGAACCTATCGCCTAACAAATTTGTAGAGGAAGAAAGTGGAGATGGAAAACGACGAGTTGTGCGTCTAAGTCAAGGGTGGAATGGAAAAGATGGTGTGAGGAAGAAATGAAAGCTTATGGGCAGTGGTGGAGCCAGATTGAAAAGACTGCAGAGAAGGGAGTGCAATGTTGTCGTGCTACTGAAGCCGTATGTTCCACTAGGAACCCAAAGGACAAATAATAAATAACAATTTATTTTATCATGGATTTTATTTCACTATTTATTATTTATTTATTCCATTATTTTTATTTAATTTAATTAGGTAACTTATTCTAGTTTATTATTGTCTATTTCTTTATTTGTTATGATTTATTTAATCTTTTTACTCACTATTTATTTCAATTTTATGTGATATATTTAATTGATTAATTAGTTTATTTTATTACTCCACTTAAAACTTATATGGTGCCATTCTCCTTAACCTTTTATCTGGAATGCAACCCTACCAACCTGACAGTGTAGACGTAATCTTTTTCACTTACATCACCTCCTCTTTCATTGATATATTATTCCAAGACTTTTAAGTAACTAGTTACTTTAATTTATTCATCTTTCACTTTCTTGGCTTGTATCTTGATGTGCTAGTGTGAGGTGTATCAACTCACAGGTTGAGTCTGGCTACCTGAATATCACTTGACCATATAGATTATATGGTGTGGCTTAGTGCAAACATTTTTATGAAATTTCTCATTTACACTTATCTGTTATTTATTCAGTGTAATAATGCATAGTATACTATCGCTCCATTAGTATTTCGGTTACTCATGTGTATACTAGCGTATTAGCCAGCGTTGAATAAAACACGAACAATGATTGAAGCGGAATGATATGACGTCATTTTATTTCAGGGATTCACAACCTAAGGCAGTATATATATATATATATATATATATATATATATATATATATATATACGGCTGGCAGTGGAAAACATAGGCAATATCGAGGCATCCGTGCAGGAGCCCATATGCCAATGGACACTGATCAATTCGGTCACAATTAGCAACAGAATAATGCAAGCAATAACACTAATATATTTTTCTATGGTTTTGGAAAGAGCTTTTTTGGACTTTATTTGATTTAATGACAAGCGGATGTTTTAGTGTTATTGCTTGTATTACACCGTCGTTGATAGGACCGAATTGACCAGCCACTGTTGGCATATGGGCTCCTATGCGGATGCCTCGATTTGGCCTGTCTTTTAACTCTGTTAATAGGAATTGAAAATAGGCTGACATGCTGTCAGTGAACCCAAAAAATTGAATTGGCTTACAGTTGGTTACATTAACGCAGATGTATGCAACCTTTGATATCTTCAAAAGTTTGTGGACTTATGGTTAATCTGTGTTTGTTTCTCCCCTATCTTCCCAAACACTTTTGCTTACCTTAATGTCACTTTTTTTGTCCACTCCTCCCTTACATGCTACTTTGAAGTCTGATGACTTGTAGAGTGTTTAGAGTTCTAAGTTTATATGTGTATATCTGTGTGTGTCCATGTGTGTTTGTTTGTCCATACTGCGTGCATATTATATTACTCACTTCCGGCCAGGATGGATGATGGACGTGAAAGAGTTACAAGGAATTTGTATAGATCCAGCGTTTTTCTGGTAGGATGATCATCGTAGCTGCAATCAGCTTTACCTGTCATTTTCATGGAATCTTGTATGTTCAGACGACGCTGATTTGTACTTTCATGAGGTTCGATAGGTAGCGTTGAACATAAATTGACAAGTAGCTGCAACACTATGTGTACCTACCTTGCTTATATTAACCAGTTTAGGATGACGATTCCATAGACGACTGAAACACGAGAGGAAATAAACACACATTACAGCTTGATCAGAGTCCACGGACCTGGTTTAGAAGGAGTGGTATTCTTGAATACGCCTTTGCCATTGGTAGCTAGTTGTAATGCTATCCACTTCAGTCCAGGCTTTAGTGACAGAGGTAGAACGTGAGATGACGGTGGGACGAACGAAACGCACTCAGCTACCTTGCAGACATTCGTGCATTACACAGTGAACCATACCCGTTGTGCGAAGACTACTGATACTGCCTAGCTCTCTAAACCTGACAGGTAGAGTGGGGCTCTAACCCACGACTCATTGGTTGATAGTTCACACCTTTCTAGATTTGAATAGCTTATTGATTTTGGTCTCTCCAACCAATATGATATTTACATGTTGGCTGACGTACTCTTTCCCGAAACCTCTAAGCAAAACAATTGGGTTTAAAAAGCTTCAGGGGTTTACGAATTCTTATGAAGATTTTGGTAATCTTATTCAACACTATAATAGTTACCCCACACCTCAGTAGGTTTAGTGTCGTTTGAACTTGTGCTTCACTGAATGAAAGTTGCTTGCTTAGAGCAGTGAATCCAAAACTCCTTCATTGATAGAAGTGTGGTTTTACCAACATGCAGGTGATATTACTGTTTGATAATTACACCCCTTTACAGATGACATACATAGGCAACTGAAAAGTAACGTTTTAATCCTTAGTTGAACTTCAATAATGAGGAACAACTTTTCAAGTAATGATGGATAATGGAACCCAGGATGTGCACTTCGTCCTATTTGGGACTCGTCAGCTGGATATACCTGCCTCCCAGGGAGTGATGTTGTTCCCACCAGGATTCGGACTCCAGAATGATCGCTTCAAACGTGAGAGCGTTGTCCACTACACCATCGAGCCATAATAGCCACTTCTTATGCGACGGGTATAGTTTTATTGTTATTGCTTGTATTACACCGTCGTTGTTTGACCTAATTGATCAGTCTCTGTTGGCATATGAGCTCCTATGTGGATGTCTCGACATTGCCTGTGTTCTTAACTGTATAGTAATGATGGATAGTGGCTAGCAGTGGAATCCAGAGTGACTTTTCAAGTCGTATGATATGGTCAGTAATCATGTGGCTACAATGCCTTCATGACTTAGAATATACTAATTCAACAGTTACTAACTCGATCCCGGATTCAATCACCAGGAAACTGGTACACTGAGGTCACTATGACTACCAGTAGTGTGCAATACAGTCACTTATTATATGATTTCAACAATGGAATTGTGAAGGAATTGATCTTTTTTTGACAAAGTTGGAGAATATTTGATTTACCCGAAACATTTATTTCCAACCAATCAGGCAACTAATTTAATGCCGAATCCTATACTCAAGTGCTTCATTTCAAGTTGTCACACTTCACAACAGTATGCAAGGAATTGGTGGAAAGAAAGTAAATGACATTGAAGTGAATGGTCAGTGAGAGAAAAGGTTAATGATGGTTAGTGAAAATGTGCCAAATTTTAAAGATGACCTAGTGATTTAACAATTCCATCACTAATTATTGATTACCGCAGTAACTTTTCTCTCAGTAGCTGTGCAGTGTTGCCGGACATTTCATAATATTCATTATCTCCGGAAAACACTGGTAAACAACAACGCAGCACAGGCTGATGTCCGAAGCTGAAAGTTGCGCTTAGTGTGCAAAAGGTTTTATACTATGCAGATTGAAATAGGTGAGACCAAAATCGGAATTCTTGAATTTATAGCTTTAAAGTGGAGTACTTTAGCACCTATGAACCAGTTTACAGTGTAGTAGGCATGCATAGCTGTTAGATTTTAGTGATCTGATGAACAACCGTTAGGTGGTTGAATGTAGGTAGGTGGATATTAGAAATGTTGAAGAAATCGATGTTTCCTTGGAGATTCAGATTTGTCTTGATCATTTCCAAAGTTAGAGATTGTACAGGTCACAAGCAGTCTGCAGTACAGCTGAATTATGTAGATAATCTGGTCGCTGTCTGTGTGACAGAAGTCTGTTGATTGAGTATACGATGTTACCATTAGACTAAACGATTCGATGCTACGTTGCTAAGTTCTTTGAATTAAATAGGTAAGTTTTACACTTGTTGGAATTTACATGCCTAAAGCATATTGGTGACTCTGAAAATATTCCTATTCCCGCAGAATTTTTTCGTATCAAGGATACATCGCAGAAAATTTTATATGTTTTTATTAAACATTGCATAAATCACTTTCCTATGTTTATTTCAATTAGGATGGTCATGAAATCTGTTTTGTCGGTGATGAAGCCTTCAGACAGTTGTCACAAGTTGATCCGCAAGCTGATAGTCTACTTCAATCAGCAATACTTGCGGATAAAAGTGATGAATGGTTCAAGAAACATGGAGGGAAAACAACCAAATAAGAGTGTTATCAACGTTTTTGATATCATTCAGTTGTTCCTGTGTGTGTGTGTGTGTATGGAGCTGAGAAACTATTATTTTGTGATAATTGATTATTGACTTCTTTATCATGTTGAGCATGAATTATTTTGTACGCTTTTCTCATCAGGAAATATAATTTTATGCATGTATGGATCTGTTTACTTTTGTTATTGGTTCTGTCCACCTTTTATTCTACCAATCGAATTAGAAGAAAGTGTGGTAGTACCTCATTTCGAGTAAGGTCAGTTGAAAGGAACGATGTTTGTGAAAATGGTAAGTAGACTGTGTGAAAATGTTCGGTAAATAGATGTTTTAGATAACAGAAAGCGAATTATGCATTTTAAATTTATCATAACATGAACCTATTTTATGCAGCAGTAGAGTCAGGTGTTACTCTTGTTTAGCGACTAAGGCTTACGGAACCAGACCGACATTTATTCCCTATACAATGGGTTGAGTTGGAACGGGAATTAGGGTCACCGGTCGAACATGTAACACCAGTTTATGAGGTCAGCCTTGTAAAGAGCAGTAGATTGCCTGGTTGAAGTCGTCAAGATGATAGGAATTAATAGTGGGAGACCGTTGGTGACATGGATATAAATAGTTCACAATGGTGCAGATGTTTTCACTCTTTGACGTCTTCAAAGAGTATTTTCGCTAACTTTTGTATTTTTCTATTCACCTGTTGTTTACATAATGCTATAAAGTGTAATAACTTAAACCGATTCATTTCTATATATCTGTCCAGTTAACTCTTCATATCTGTCATAGTTGTTTTGTAGCGCATCGTGACAATGCTTTCCTTATCGTTTGAAATAAGCTCAACTTTCGATACATACACTCATCACTGACTATTGATCTGAGACGTGTAGGGGAATGTCGACTTCCCAGTGGGGGTCTGTGTGACGATTGGAATCGATTTTTGGATACTCTGGGTGATATGGCGCAAAATCTGTCTGAATGGTGTAGATGTCTCCATACGTCATCATCGTAATCATCATACTCAATTCCAGCATTGTCTAATCCCTACCTACTGTCTTCTGTTGATTTTCTACCACCTTTGACTGCTTTCTTCCTGGTTCCTCTATCTCTAATCTTATTGCATCCAGTTTGATGTGTTGCCATAATTTTTGGCAACTTGGACGGTTACGCAGTAAAATCTTTTCCCATGTTCATGTTAACAACATGTTAGTCTGTCTTTAAAGACAGTTTTCTCCTTCTTTCTTTTCACTCTCTTGTAAACTCCACTAATAATATGTTTTTAATTTATTTGATATAAAATAACCTTCATTGATGCGATGAGAAGATGAATAAGGCGTAATTGATAGTGAAATAAAACATTTTTTTAAAAATCCTCCGAGAAAACCAGTTTTTTTATACTGGGTGATGATTGAAGGTAAGATAAAAATCTGGACCGCGGTCGGCTGGTTCGAGTCCGGCCTCAGTCCAGATTTTCATCTTACCTTCAATCATCACCCAGTATGAAATACTAGTCTACCAAACTACAGCTATCTCAGATAATCAAATGATAAAACCAACTTTACCGTCACAACTACAGATTTTTGTACATCACTGGAAATTAGCTTCACTGTAAATGACCAGTTAAGAAAAATACTTTTATCACATACATTTACACGAATAACAGACTGTTTTCTTGACCTCCAATACAATCTATCAATAAATCACCACCCAGTGTAAATAAAAAGTGTGTGGTTAGTTCTCTAATTCAATAAACACAATTCATGCTGCACTACAACAGTATATATCAATAAATTCAGTAATCTCTATATACCAAAGTACATTACTGTATGCTGCTCATTACTGACATGTTTCGACACAGATATCCTGGGGTTCTAGAGAGAAACCATGACCTATGCTATCAAACAGTTGGGAGTGAAGTGGATGCCGACTGAAGATCACAGTGAATAGTCACGCCATGTCGTGAATTGACACGTAGAAAACTGTAGACCACTGAACTCCGACCAACTGGCTAAATGATTAACGCGTTTGCCGACCGATGTCAGTCTATGACAAATATTACCTCAAAAATCGGAAATAATTATATCTCTGTGTTCTTGTTAAAAATATTTCCTCCCGCGAACAAACTATTATCAAATCAGAAATCGAAATGATTTCAGTAATCTTGTGAACATTCGTGCATTACGCAATGAGTCACACCTCTTATGTAAAGGCTAGTGATAATGCCTGGCTGCTCACACTTCCCAAGATGGAGTTGTGTTCGAACACCTTACTCACCGATTGAAAGTCCACTGCCTAACCCAATGACCCACAGATCCACATAGAATATCATCAGCTAACTCAATACTTTATGATTGGTGGTAAGTTAGATCCGACTTATTGAATAGGAAGTTTTGCCCCCAACAGTGCTGATATCAGCATTCAGCACTATCCCATCAATCTATTCACAGATGATTGTTTACATCAAGTCCCAATGTAAAATACACAATTCCAAATAGACAAGGACTGTCTTCTACATCATAGAACCTCTCTGAACATCAAGTTATATACAGCTTATATTGTTGTAGTGTTTGCAAACAAATTATGGTTCAAAAGCTATGAAAGATGAAATGACTGAAAACTTTAAACAAAAGTGTATCAGGAATTCTGATAACCCCACTTTATGACAACACAAAATATAAAAACTACTGAGACTTTAGGCAACAAGTACATGAATGGTCAGTAAACAAGTAAACATGTTTTCGTCAACAAGAATTTCAGTTTAGCTTAAGTCTAAAGCTTATGGGTTCTCATCATCAAAACTTGGATCCCAACCTGAAGAAAGTCAGCGTCCTGGTGATATTAACCTGCATCAACAAGATTTTGTCAATAAGCCATGAAAGTTACAACCAATCTGGAAGATACGCTGGTTATTATGCAATGATATACTCGTGTACACAATCAGGTCCACAATAAAATCAGCTGTAGGCCAAATCGTTGAATGACAAATTTGAACAATGAGTAAGGCAGATTCAAGTCGACAAACACAAAATTTAGATTAGTCAAGGATCTCAGTAGACTGACTTCAAGAAAGCAACATCAGACAAACTGAACTGTAACAGACTTTGTTAGTTTTCACTCGGCTGGTTTACACTCCAACTATTTCAACTGTTTTAGGAAGACAGAATTTGCACATAAGCAAATTAGGTAATTAACATTTCAGTCAATCCTAAATAACAGCCTCATCCACTTGTCTATGCTGATTGTACTTAATGCCAACAGCACAAAACAACCCCAAAATATAACGTGAATTCCAGTAGCTGATGGGTTGATCATCATTTTGTATGAAAAGTATTAGTGTGATTAGTCTTCAATGTTAACCCTTGTATTATCACGATAATAACTACACTAAATGAAATAAAGGCTGATTCGACCAGCAACTTTAACAAGAATCTGAGCACAGCTGGTGAGAAAATCTGTTAGATGTTGTTACTTGTATCATCCCGTCGTTGACTGGAGCGAGTTGACCGGTGTCTATTGGCCTACGGGCTGCTGCGCCGAAGCTTGGATATTTCCTGTCATTTCATTTTCGCAAGCAGCATTATGAAAACTGCATCCGTAACGCAACAACTGGCTATTGTAACTCAGTCGTCTAGTGGATAAGACTGCAGAAGGAATCGGTCTCGGGTAAGAATACTAGTAGGAACAACACCATTCACTGGAAGGTAGGCACATGCAGCTGACGAATGAGTCCTAAACAGGACGAAACGCGCTTGCTGGATTCCACTGCTAGTCACCATCCATCACTACCTCTGAGGTTCAATTTGAAGACAATCCACTTGATTAGACACTTTGTAGCCTGTTTCTAACACTATTAACAACGATGAAACAACAGTTTTTGAACTATGTAAATCTGACAATTGACTGCTGACCACTGATTTTAAGGGAAAACCAAGCAAATATTCTTCCAGTGTTGTTCAAAGATATAACCGAAAAGCATTTAGCTTGACAATAGTGTGTGAGATAGGCGAAATGTCATTTTAACTAAAACAAATGGGTTGATTTTCTCCTCTTCAACTGTGATCACAGATAAATAAATCCGTGATAAACATTCCTTTTGCCAAAAGCTTGGCTTATTTGTTTACATAATCTCATTGCATGCTAGAGAATATATGTGACAGTGAATTTGACAGGCATAGTTAGACAGTTGAACAGTTCATCAGAATGCCAGGAAAATCTTCAGTAATTTTAGTGTTTGTAGCCTAAAACAAAATTCGTTGATCTTCTGATTAACGTCTAAGAGGCAAGCTCACACTGCCCTTCATAAAGAACTGTGGAAGTTAGACTCTTATTGTCTTATTCAGTAATCACCTGAAAATTATTTTCTCCAATGCCAGTTAGACTATGCTCTGCTGGCATCCAACTAGAGTTCCAGTAAATAGAGCACCACTTTGTTCGTTCATGTGTCAAGTGAGCCATCACAGATTAAGTCTCATCTTCAATCGGATGCATAAGTCTGCACACAGTCGGTGAGTTCCATCAATATGATTACTAACACCTTCATGAAAGTTATTTATTATATGCGTTGTCACTAAAAGGCGATTACATACAAGCCTCTAAGTAAGAGATGTATGCATAGGTCATTAGTTTGTGTGTATTCGAGTGAATGGAATCACAACCCATGGGAAAATTATGTCAAAGGTGAAATCAAATAGATATTACCCTTAAGAAGACTGTGTTGATTTTATCTTTACGCCTGCTAAACTGTATCAGTCAGTTATTCTCTTTTATCAAGCCATAAATCTGTTTTTCGGTAAAAATACTTTCCATAACTCTAATTTGAAAAAGGCTTCCCTTTCCTTAAAACAGTTGTAATCGAAATATATCAAGCCTTCTTTCCTCAACTGATACACAATACTAGTAAAGGGTTTACGCTAGTCAGGATTAACTTGACCGCTTTCTCCCCGATAAGTACATATTATTCACCTCAATAACGCTGGGTAAAAGTGATGTAAACTATTTAAAGATCATAATAATAGGCAATTAAAGCATGTTGTTTCAGTGCTGAAGACAGATAAACCTTAGTGACGAAATCTTAACTGCAATCCTTTAGGCATAAAAAATAAATAATGTGTGTGGAAGTACCACTTTCACCAAGGCAGTTGAATCCAATTTCAAGTTGTTATTCATCGAA